TACTTGCAATACATTTACGATCACATGTTAAATTACACTAGGTAAGTAACGGGTGTTTGAAAAAAAATTATGTTTATATTTTGTAGTCAAATGAATAAATGGAATCCACTCACATTCTAGTAAAATCTGAATGTACTTTGTCTATGGTGATTTGTCACAAACATGAAAATTATAATTTTATCCTACATTCTGGTAATAAGATATATATTTTATTTAAAAAATCGACGTGAATTAAATTTAATGAAATGCTAAGAAAAATATTTTATGTCCCATTGAAGGACAGTAACAGATCTATTCTTTAATGTTATGTAAAGTATTATTTATGACTTTCTGCTGATTAATTCTGTAACAATATTTTGGTACGTGCAATGAATGGATATTAGAATAATGAAAGATATATAATCGTAAGTAACGAGCTGAAACAACATGCTTACTGTAAAAGTTTTGGTGGAAAAATTAGCACGATGGAAGGCTAGTTCAGGTTTAACGCTGAATGTTCCAGTCAGCTGGGATATTAAGGAGAAAGAAATATAATATTATTTTTCGTAGGTACTGACAAATTTGCTATGGAAGCACTTTTTCGGAAACTATGCTACGCTATGAAGATAATTGGACGGGCATAGTTAAAGTTAATTTTAAAAAAATAGGTCTAAGCTCTTCTGCTATGGACTTTTAGTTTTATATGTGAGATAATACAGTAAAATAGTTACGCCTTAGTAAAACGAAAATTCAAGTTATAATCTTATTAAAACTGAAAGTCCTTTGTGTATCAAAAAGTGAAATTAAAATGGCGAAAACTTTTCTGACGCCTTCAAAGCGGCAGTCTAGCCTTGTGGATTTATAAAGACGGCAACTCTGGCCTAATTGAGATCGAAATTATTTTTGAAAATAGGTCGCAACATATCAACACTTACAACTGTTTCGGCATGAGTAGTAATGGCGGGTAAAACGTGTCAACTACCATTTATCTAAGATATGTTTTAATATTACACTACCATCCACGCCTAGAAAATTGCGGAAACGTAATTTTTATTATGTGATAGCTAAATAACCAATCATTCATCATTAAACCCACTTAAGAGTTTCAATTTAATAGCTTAACTATTTTGGTTTTGACAGTGATACCGAATAATAACGCAACTTGCCTCAGAATGCCTTGCTAGTTATATATAATTACCGATATAAAGATGAAAAGACAAACAATGATAATAATGCGAGATTTGGGATATTCACTGCGGTGAATATGTTGTGTAGACTTGTAGATAGTCACAAACATTTTGGAAGAACATACTTTTCCATGATCGGGGTTGAAAACAGAGTAATTCTCTCCGAGAGGTTGGTATCTACTTACAAGGTCACACAATCTTACAACCCACAAGATAAACATCGATAGCACTAATAATATAGTATAAAATGAAATATCATGGAAACAAATAAGAAAGTTATTAAAGGTTAATTGTGTTCTTTCCGCGAGAGATGATGCAATGGAATGATTAAGACGATCCTTCGATCTTGTAGGGAAGGTACAAGGCAACGCTGTCTGGAAAACACTCTGTATTAACTGAGGATGTTGCGCGAATCGATATGATAGTAATGGATTAGGAAAAGCTGACTTAAACTCATAATCACTTAAGCAGTTTCATCACCACTCAGCTTCGTAACCCGATGTAAACACACTCATCGTTCAATTGTTAACTCCTATGAATGCGATAATGTAACTTACAGGTCTAAGAGCTTTGCGTGATATCTAACAATCAGGTTTAAAGGAACGAGGAATGATTTATACAGCCGTTATAAACCAAAATTCTGTCCCTGAAGCATACAGTTTTAATTAACTTCCTCACTACAATCTTTCTACTAGTATAATCCGAAACTTCAACACTGCTAATGGATAGGATTCGCAAAATCCACTTCCTAAGATCAATCTTCATATTATCCTCTCATAATGTCCTTGATTTTCCACACGTTACAGCATTTTAAGAAGTTCCCCTATCAAAACTCCACACGTTCAGCACGCCACTCAAATCAGGTTTGATAATTATAAAACAAGCCAAATCCTACTGCATAACATTTAAATCACTTTACCATAAACGATGCACTTTATCCCTTTTAGACCCACTTAAATCTTAGAATTTCAGATTACGTAAATCGAATCAACCTTGCTTCATTTTTCGGGGGTACTAGATTCTAATCTCGACCCGGACACCGGGTATCCTAACTCGGGATTTTCGTGTTCTTCTGCATCCCTTCGAAAAATGTTCACTTCAATACGAATTTGCAGTGCGTAAAATGAGCGCATACACGATACATAACGTTTCTCAACATGATTTAAGTCGAGAACCGCTTGATGGATTTCCATCAGATTTGGTACGGAAATGATGCCGTTGTAGCTACCCTAAGGCCATACTTGTCAACTTCCTAGAATGGGTAATAACAATATGGCGGACGCACAAAATTGTGGGATGGGAGAGACATTATCGCTACTTAATACAGCGTTATATAATGGTGTATCTTAAGAGGTATTTAAAAATACACAACATTATTACAGTAATTCCATATACAATGTAAAATAACGTCAGCTCCATGAAATAAAAAAAAATCCATTCATTGTGAAATACGAAAGATCACCATAAGATTCGTATAGAATAATAAATAGATTCCACTAAGATTCGATCCCATGACCATTATGGGTAACTGTCAATCCGTTATATTACTATCTATCTACTTTGCTTAATTAAGATATCTCGAACGTATGATTAGTAAGGTTTGAAATTAACGCTGTGTAATTAAGATGACAGTCTTTACTGTGAATATTTAATTAGTCTTTACAATTAATAAATTCTGACGCCAAAGACTTACCAGTGTCTCGAACCCAGTAGTTGATTGACTTGGGCGATGCTTCTACGAAGCATTCGATGGTGACCTGAGTGCCCAACGGAGCACCAACCAGCTGGTTAGGCACCTGAATTACTGGATAAACTGAAAGAACATTGTTTTATGCGCTCACATATTACGTACACATATCACACGTAACATGACGAACATCTTGAGCCAACACTGTCCGTTTCTCCGTAACGGCATCTCGAATACAGACGTGCAGAACCAGAAACACACATTTCCGTACCGATATATGAAACATTATGTAAATATCCTCAACGTTCTTCTTAAAACATAAGAGTTTTTGAACTGATTTCAGTTCGGTAACACTGTTTACCAAAGCCGTAAAACGAGCTATAATTTTCAGGAGATGGCAAAACGAGCATTACATCCGAGTCACGCACGCTATCCCTTGAGAATTATGTGACCAGGTTTATATTTCTACATCAGGATAATACAAAGAACGCTTTGTGTACATATAACACAAAAGCACGAAACGACTAATTTGTGGATCATGACCCTTGCAACTTCACACAGGCAAATGCAAAGTTACATCATGCCAAATCGTAGTTCTTAATTGAAACAAAGATCGAAGCGGTGTTTTATTTGTTCGACGAGAAATAATTCTGTGTGTGTTAATCCCTTGCCACGAGGTTGTTTCTTCTTATATTAATCCTAATGGGATGCTACGTTTCGAGACGAGATTAAAATTAAACTTGCCCATTGTCCATTGCACGTCGGTGATTTTATGTGTAAAACCTTACACACAAAACAAAAGCTGAACAGAATTTACGATCTACCAGACTTGAGTTCTTAATGAAAGCATCTTCCTGCACAGTCTTCGTTCATAGGCTAACCAAGTTATGGCCAAAATGATGCATATACAGAATGATCCAAAAAATATGTATACAAAAATTAAATGATTGAGGTGAAATAGGACGTTCAGAAGTAGGAAAGGTAGAGGCACAAGCTTGTCTAAATATTATTTAAAAATTTAGACTGTACCGAAAAGAAAACACTGCTTTTATTATCTACATATATCATACGGTTAATTCTGTTTACGAAAACAATAGCTGTTGTTCTGAGAATCATACTGAACCCATAAAGACACTGTTCAAACAAAATTCAGCACGTAAAAAGAGTTACCACTGAGCTAATGTTATAAACATCCATTATGATTAATCTTACTGTACAGGGACCTGCATTACCGACACATTACGTTTCTCCTGATAGCCGAGTGCAATGTTTAGACAATTACACTGCTTGTGTCCGCGGTTCACGCCTCGCCTGTCTGCGACCGGCTGTGAAGTGCCCTATGAGTAATTACCAGGTCAACAGCAGTGGAAGACCACACAGGCTACCACCTCACCAGATATCAAAGGTCCCCATTCATTAACGTAGTGGTTGATCGGTCTGAGTGATCTGCTGAGAGTCAAACTGTAAGGCGTGTGACTGTCAAGAGCGTACAGATTTGTTAAATGTCCGCTGCAACACGGACCGCGAAATCCAGGCAAGTGAAGACAGCTCAGAACTCGAAGTGTAACAAAGCTAGCAACGTTACGCTGGTATCTTTGAGTCGTGAGGAAATCGACGTAAAATCCTTCCGTAAACTCAAAGCATGGATGACTGATTCTATAACTACTGGAAAAAAACATGGGCAGTAGAATTCTATAAAAAAGGTAAACCATGAGGGCTTTTGTGAATATGGGAATGAATCTTTGACTACCTGTGCGCACTATTAGATTTTCTAAAAGAACTCTGTCTTTTTTATATTTAAAGGTGTATTTGTATCACACGACATCGGGAAATGGTTTTATAGCTCCACTATTTCTTGACGTTGACGCTTTGTGTGTGAAAAAAAAATCCATTCATTGTGAAATACGAAAGATCACCATAAGATTCGTATAGAATAATAAATAGATTCCACTAAGATTCGATCCCATGACCATTATGGGTAACTGTCAATCCGTTATATTACTATCTATCTACTTTGCTTAATTAAGATATCTCGAACGTATGATTAGTAAGGTTTGAAATTAACGCTGTGTAATTAAGATGACAGTCTTTACTGTGAATATTTAATTAGTCTTTACAATTAATAAATTCTGACGCCAAAGACTTACCAGTGTCTCGAACCCAGTAGTTGATTGACTTGGGCGATGCTTCTACGAAGCATTCGATGGTGACCTGAGTGCCCAACGGAGCACCAACCAGCTGGTTAGGCACCTGAATTACTGGATAAACTGAAAGAACATTGTTTTATGCGCTCACATATTACGTACACATATCACACGTAACATGACGAACATCTTGAGCCAACACTGTCCGTTTCTCCGTAACGGCATCTCGAATACAGACGTGCAGAACCAGAAACACACATTTCCGTACCGATATATGAAACATTATGTAAATATCCTCAACGTTCTTCTTAAAACATAAGAGTTTTTGAACTGATTTCAGTTCGGTAACACTGTTTACCAAAGCCGTAAAACGAGCTATAATTTTCAGGAGATGGCAAAACGAGCATTACATCCGAGTCACGCACGCTATCCCTTGAGAATTATGTGACCAGGTTTATATTTCTACATCAGGATAATACAAAGAACGCTTTGTGTACATATAACACAAAAGCACGAAACGACTAATTTGTGGATCATGACCCTTGCAACTTCACACAGGCAAATGCAAAGTTACATCATGCCAAATCGTAGTTCTTAATTGAAACAAAGATCGAAGCGGTGTTTTATTTGTTCGACGAGAAATAATTCTGTGTGTGTTAATCCCTTGCCACGAGGTTGTTTCTTCTTATATTAATCCTAATGGGATGCTACGTTTCGAGACGAGATTAAAATTAAACTTGCCCATTGTCCATTGCACGTCGGTGATTTTATGTGTAAAACCTTACACACAAAACAAAATCTGAACAGAATTTACGATCTACCAGACTTGAGTTCTTAATGAAAGCATCTTCCTGCACAGTCTTCGTTCATAGGCTAACCAAGTTATGGCCAAAATGATGCATATACAGAATGATCCAAAAAATATGTATACAAAATTAAATGATTGAGGTGAAATAGGACGTTCAGAAGTAGGAAAGGTAGAGGCACAAGCTTGTCTAAATATTATTTAAAAATTTAGACTGTACCGAAAAGAAAACACTGCTTTTATTATCTACATATATCATACGGTTAATTCTGTTTACGAAAACAATAGCTGTTGTTCTGAGAATCATACTGAACCCATAAAGACACTGTTCAAACAAAATTCAGCACGTAAAAAGAGTTACCACTGAGCTAATGTTATAAACATCCATTATGATTAATCTTACTGTACAGGGACCTGCATTACCGACACATTACGTTTCTCCTGATAGCCGAGTGCAATGTTTAGACAATTACACTGCTTGTGTCCGCGGTTCACGCCTCGCCTGTCTGCGACCGGCTGTGAAGTGCCCTATGAGTAATTACCAGGTCAACAGCAGTGGAAGACCACACAGGCTCCCACCTCACCAGATATCAAAGGTCCCCATTCATTAACGTAGTGGTTGATCGGTCTGAGTGATCTGCTGAGAGTCAAACTGTAAGGCGTGTGACTGTCAAGAGCGTACAGATTTGTTAAATGTCCGCTGCAACACGGACCGCGAAATCCAGGCAAGTGAAGACAGCTCAGAACTCGAAGTGTAACAAAGCTAGCAACGTTACGCTGGTATCTTTGAGTCGTGAGGAAATCGACGTAAAATCCTTCCGTAAACTCAAAGCATGGATGACTGATTCTATAACTACTGGAAAAAAACATGGGCAGTAGAATTCTATAAAAAAGGTAAACCATGAGGGCTTTTGTGAATATGGGAATGAATCTTTGACTACCTGTGCGCACTATTAGATTTTCTAAAAGAACTCTGTCTTTTTTATATTTAAAGGTGTATTTGTATCACACGACATCGGGAAATGGTTTTATAGCTCCACTATTTCTTGACGTTGACGCTTTGTGTGTGTGTGACTATTTGGCTTCACGTTCTATCAGCTTTACCCTGAAGAAAAGATCCCATTGTACTCATTGGATATGAGGCCGGATGTGCCCCATAGCTCGTCTGGACGTGGTGAGTTACACGAAAATGTCATTCTAGAATTAAATATATCGTTTTCTAGATGTTAAAGAAGCATGTAGAAGCATACAGTCTATTTTAATTCATTTAATGCTGTTCATCTTGTTTGAAGCTGCGTGTAGACTTGCAGATATATACCAACAATTCGGATAAATATACATGTCCATCTTCAGGAACTTCATTCCTGAAGATAGAAATAACATGTACCTCCGAAACGTTCATATATACCTACAGGTTCCACACGTCCTTACAACGCAGAACAACAACATAGAAATTTTCACCGTGAGAACCTCAAATCTCACAAACTGAAGTTCACCAGCAAATCTGAAATATATCCGTATATTATCTGTTCATGTGGAAAGTGTTCATCGCGCGGACAAAACACATGAAATTACTGCCGTAGGGATTTCAAGCAGTGCATCAGCTGCAGAAACGGGACACGGCTGCAAAAATTCTATATCACTTGATTTCGTTATTTTATGCGTGAGGGGTTCACGTGCAGCGATTGGGCTTTAAATAGAACATTCTGTTGCAAACACATGAAACTTACAGTGAACGCTGACCATAATCCTCTTGCTGACGGAAGGCGGGACCCCATTAGAGGCAATACACAGATACGAACCCATCTCTGACCTCATGATCTTCGTAAGTTTCAGAATCTCTCCCTGGTACGAAGAAACTGTAACACAACCAGTATTCTGCATTAGTTGTAACTTTGACGGCAGCTGAATTTAGTGAAGTCTTCTGTGGCGATAAGCCGTGAAGTTTTAAGTTTCAAGCTAATTTTCTGGAAACTATATCTTTCTCATCATGTAGTGTAGTTGTGACACATCTATTATGATGAATGAAGGAGAGACATTCTCTAAAAAATTGGATTTAAACATCATACTACAGAATTTATGTTCTTACTGGTACATTAACAACGAAATTCAATCGTCAAATTAGATTATTGTTTGAACTGTTACGAATTTGTCCACTGGTAAGAAATTTCCAGTGTACTTCCAAAGTATTGTAGTTCTACTGACGAAAGACAAATTTAAATTTGACAGAAACTTTGAAATATTCAATAAAACATTATTATAGTCAAAAACAGACATATTTAAAAAATGATCAACAAGATTATAAGTTTATATTTTTAATACTGTGAAGTCTTCATTCTGTTGCTAGGTAATGCGTCTGTTATAGACGGACTTTAATAACGAGTTATCGACATTGCAGTAGATTTTACAAAGTGTAAGTAATAAGACATGTAGTCTTATCACTTCAACACACAGAATGATTTAGTCTTTCCCGAGTTTCATTTATAAATAAATTCCTTGAATAAAGTGTTCGGAGATTCATCATAACTTGAATGATTTATAAAGAGTACTTCTAGACGTTTCTGGCAAGAAACTATTTTATTTACATTAATCTATATTCCCGTTAAAACAGTTTTATTACTGAAGTCTTCAGCCATTGATATGGACGTTTTCAAGCTAAAAGTTACACGTCTGTCGGTTTTAAAGAGATATGAGTTATGAAAGACGTTACTTTTCGAAGACATTAATTTAATTTTGGTATTACTAAACGACTTTCATTTCAGGTATAAATTCTTTGCGAATTCCCCATCTTATTTATTCATTACTTCAGAAAATAGTCTGAGTGCTTTATCCTTCTAAAACAATGAAACTAACTTTGCTGCAATGCGTACATTACAAAGATATAATTGTATATATCAGAAGTGTTTATAAGTGGTTCTAAAATGTTAAACTAAACAATTCACTTATTTTTCAGAAATAGAACAATGTTAAGTTCGCTAACACAGAAGTAAGATTTGACGACTGTTAGAAGTTTTGGAAGCACATTAACTGTTCGGGCTGTTTCCCATTGCAACTGCTGTTATCTTTAGCTGAAATGGTTGACAGCGAGAGGTGATCAATTATTTGAGAGATTGTCTTCGAAAGTCCTGAGTTATATACGCTCTCGCACTTTCAGACTACTAATTACAATACTTTGAAACTCACGGCACGTTTGTGAGACTCTGAAGAAGAAATTTAAATAATTTATATACTTTCTCTGCTCAACCATTTCACAAATATCAAAATGTTAAAACAATAAATTAAGTAATAAAATTATTATTTAAGTTGCACATAAAAAAATATTTGACATTTCACAATACTTGTAATCTATATAAATTAACAATTAAAAACCCACTGATAACTATTACTTAACACGTGCATTAACAATTAGTAACTCTGAATTATTTATCAACGTTGGCTGTTACAAGACAACTGGTAGGATATGGTACTGGTATAATTTTCTGTAATATCCAGCTATTAAAAACGTCAGTTTATCCGTCGTATTCCATTCACAGATCAAAAAAAACACAGGAAGGATATTTTACTATAATAGTTTGTATAAAAATAGTATTAAATTATATTAAAATTGTCTGTCAATCACAATAAAGTAATATAAGATAATTAAATGGTTAAAATATTATCCTTTGTTCCGTATCGAGTACTCGATTTACATATGGAACATTCTCGACATGTTTCGGCTTTCATAGAGCCGTCATCAGGTGTATGTTATAAACTCTTAATTCAATTACTAATTTTTAATTTTCTAATTTTCTAATTTTCGTGTCATTTCTTCATTTTTCACATTGTATCAACATTTGTTGTTGTATTATATATCATTGATACAATCGTATTGTCAGAGTGATGTTAATGCTGCGTATATTGGTCTGTGAATTAAAGGATTCAAATCATTAATGAAACTGAATATAGAAAACAAAATAAATAAATGAAAGTAAACGTATAAACTTACCAGAGAAGTAATATCGAAGTTGTAAGAGGAGAGATCAGAAGTACATCGTATCGGAGCGAGGTTGGTTATTGACTGCGGTGCTAGTGGGTGAAAGGTGGTTTGTCAGGGTTGGGGTCAAGGTACTGGAGTGCATTAAAAATGGGGTTGTTAAGCAAAATGTTATTGGGTGGCAAGATGAGGCATGAATTATTGTGCTTGTGTTTGTAGGTTTTCTGTAAATTTTGAATTCGAAATTTTTTGTTTTTCTTATTATAGTTAAATCTAAATAGTTTAGTGTGATATTTTGTTCAAGTTCTAACGTAAATTGTATATTTGGATTTATGTTGTTAAATTTCTTAAGTACTTGTTGAATATTTTAATACTATTTTTAAATAAAATCACAATATGACGCACCTACAATATCTTATAATAGTTTGTATTCAAAGACGTAACTCCTTTATATAATTACGCTCACATGAAGATTACAGAATTCTCTCGAACATTTAGAATTTTAAAGGGATGAACGAGTTATAAAAGACGGTCATGTTATATTTAACTTATACATGTATTAATCTGGATATATTATGGAAAACAAAGACATATTCCACGGCTTAGATTCGAACCTGGGATAATCTGACTTAAGTATTTGGGTAGAGGGGAAAGATTAAACTCAGAAGTAAACCTCAACGTATTCAGTCACTTAAATATTTCCCAGTGAAATTTTCATGTAATATACCAGCGACTCTGTTCTTGTTAATCTACTTTCATTTCTGCCTCCTGAATGTTTTACGCGACGCATGGTTTTTTGAGATTATTAAATGACAGGCGGATGGAATGTTATACCCACGTTATCACTATCAATTTCAAACTGAATTCTTGAAAAGAAAGGAAATCAGCATGTGATTGGGTTAGAATAAAAAATGATTCCGCATACGAATTGTTTATTTTCTATACTACAGTATGGATCTCACGTGCAACAAAATAGCTGTAGCACCCTAAAGACATAGAAATGAAAAAAACTTATTGGAATAACATATATAAACGAAGAAGCTTTATCTTATGATGGTAAACAAAGGAAACCCGCCATCTAGTTCTAGTATATAAACAACTGAGACTCATCAAGATGCATTACGCACGACCGCCATGTTGGGTTCAATCGGTAGATTCTGGGAGGGACTAGATTCTTCTGACCCGGAGTTCATTAAGCTGTCTTTCAGTTTTCTGTGATCCGGCGACTGTCACTGGCTGTGGCAAAGACACGACGTACCTAAGCCTCAGGCCGGTAGAAAGTGCATAAGATATCAAACTAACCCAGCGGTTCATCCTAGATAGAGAATTTAAACATTTTAGAGTGCAAACATGTGATACGTAACAAATTTTCCATCCATTTGTTTTCAAAATTTTCCCAGATAACAGAGTCCTACGACAAAGAAATTATGGGACATTTAGTACATTATTCACAATAAAAAATGTATTTTTGTTTTCTAACCATCGACAATAAAGTCCACCGCTAGACACCATTCTGAGTCACATCCTAATAACCTATTTAATTATGTTCCATCTGAATTTCATCTCCTACATCCTGTGTCTTTTAAGTCATCGCTTTTCACAAGGCTATTTTATGATTATCTTGTTTACTGCATCCGAAACATTTTTTCACCTCATAGTAGCATCTAGTATTTCACTACGCTATGTCTACGCCAGTACTGAGTTACGAGTCTACTTCTATAAAATATAAATTTTTAAAACGTTCAGGAGAAACTAATGTGCTTTTTGTGGGTATATTAAAAGCTGTTATTTAAAAAACCCCACATATTTCGCATGGCATATAACGAATAAGTAACGAAAATTCTAACACCACAATTCATACTTCAAGATTAAACGTCTTAATATAATATTTTAATCTACTCCAAAGCAATATTTCCCTTTAGGTTTTCCAACCAAATACTCCCAATTATCTAAGCTTCATTTTAATATTATCCCAATATCTACGTATAAATTTCCCAAGTGGTCTCTTCCCTTTAGATACTCCTGTTTAAATTCGTATTTTTCACTTGTTTTTCCTTACGCCTGCTGAATGCCTTTCCAACCTCCGCTTCCTTCTTATTTTTTCACCCTAAAAACATTAAGTAAAAATGCAAATTAAGAAGCTCTTCATTATGTAACATTTTCTATCCTGTTTCTTGTTCTCTTTCGCGTTGAAATAATCTCTTCAGCACTTTGAAAGCTGATGAAAAGACTAAAAGATATCACCCGTATGTGACAACAAGATTTTGTCATTCACGTCCTCTTCACACTTGTCCTCTTTTGATTTCACATTCTCTCAGTACTTTCCAAGTTTAAAAGTGTATTAGTTACGGAATTCTCTTGCAGAGCAATACAATTTGTCACGCTAACCCCTTCTCAGATGTTATGCAACAGTGGCTTAAGCCGCCTATATTCTCCCCTTTCTTAGCGGGCAGTAAATTAACTGGCAATCAGAGTAAGAAGTTCCTTCAAATACCACGAATCCCAACAGCATTGCAACAACATAACAAAATATAGGAACAAAGAATACTTTTTTAAACTCTTTTCTCCTTTATTTATAGGTTCCAGCATTTCTTTTTCTTCTCGTTTCCCCTTAAACGACAGACAAGGTGAATGAACGCATCTCCCTTCTTTGTGTTCAGTACTTTCTGTGCCATTTCCTTAGTCGTTCTGAAAAGTATTGTGGAACGAAACGTCGTGGAAGGACAACGATCTCTATTTTGTTTCTTTCTTGGTACAGTGGTTTGTCCCTAGGGGGCAGTTTTGTTCCCTGGCCTGCAGCCATATCCAAACCCCTTTGCTACTATCCCCCCACCCCCGCTCACATTTTGCCTATAAACAAACTATCACGTTACGCGCTGAGCCGGATTTAACTTTAATCCACTGTTCACAATTAATTTAGATCTTTCTGACAGCGTTTTCTCTTGATTTTACTGCCATATATTCATCTATATTTCTCTAATTTTCTTTCTGTAAACAGGAACATAAAATTTTTTAATACGTTTCAAAAACCCCTTAAGGTTTCGGCAACTTTTCCGACAGTCGTGCTCGTTATCTAAACGAAATTCTGCAGGGGTTTCCACTGCGAGGGAAAGTTCGTATTAGTGAAGATACGAAAATGAGAAAGGAAAGGTTAAAAAAAGACAGAAATGAAGACGGAACTTGCAAATAAAAGAAATATGAGGGAAATACGGTGAAGTAAAGCTTATGAGATACAGGTGGAAAAGCATCAAAGAAAAGGAAAGAAAGATGGCGACGGATAAAGAAGGAAATAAATCAATGTTCGTTGAATTTCAACAGGATCTTTGCACTGCAAAACAATAAGTACATGTGTCATCCCGTTTTCCGTCACGAGTTTGAATATATTTCAAGATAAAATTATGAAATAAAATTCAATATGTACGTAGGAAGGACCTTACATCGTTACAAGAAAAACAAAGCATGCCGGAAATGTAGCAGTTACTTTATTTATTCTATACTTCCCTTCACATGAACGTTAAGTTAAAGAGTAAAAGGAGAACAAATTCTTTTTCACCTGTTTGATATAAAGGAATAAAATTTCATTTTAAAGTGACCAGCATACAAAATACGCAAATAGAATTTTACTTTCTAAAGAGTTACGCCGGGGAAAAAATACGAAATAAGAATAAAAATGTGCATCTTAATTGCTGGTTTTGTCACAACAGGTGGCTAATTGAAACGTGAGGGTTAAAATACTTCCAAAAGTACCTCTTTATTAACAAAATTTTATATCTACGAGAATCACAAACTAACAAATTAACTGACTAACTCCCTGGTAGCAGAAACTGTAGTTCAAAAACCAACAATACCAATGCCCGCCAACGGACAGAATCCTGAGCCAACTCCATTTTCCATTCTCACAGCCCACGTCCTTAAACCCCATCTTGATATTATCCTTCCAATTCCTTTACGGTTTGCCCAGTGGTATTTTCCAGAAGCGTTTCCCACCAAATTCTGTATCCATCCCTTGCTCCCATGCGCGCCAAATGCCCAGCCCATCGGAGCCTGCTAGATTTCATCATCCCCTCTCTTCTAGGAGACCCGTACGAGTCACACAGTTCCCCGTTATGCAATATTCTAAATTCCCCACTTATTTTACCCCCCCCCCCCCCCGCGAATATATTCCTAAGCACCTTGTTTTCAAACACTTGTACTCTGCGTTCTTCCTTAAAGGTAAGGGGCCATGTTTCACAACCATACAGGACAAGAGGCAAAATTATTTTTTTATACATCCTGAGCTTAAGTGTTTTGGATAGCAAACGGCGTAACATTATGAAAATAATAGGTCCCAAAAACTAAACACACCGTTAAAGTATCATTATTCACATATTAAATTTTTTAAATGTTGTAACACACGAAAGAAACTGAATTTTGTTTACTTTTCGAGGTCTGAATAAATAAAAGTGACATAACTCACCTTAAATACTCAACAGTATGATACATTTTCAGAGGTAGAAAATCACTAAAAAATATTTTGTACATGGATGCCAATTGACATAAAAGTCTGAGTCCATATCAGACGAATTAATCATTAACACCCTATTACCTCCCTCCTAATAAAGAACTAAAACCCACCAGATTTTCAATATGATAGTTAATAAATAACACAATGCAGAGATACGCTGAATTTATACACGTATCGAATACTCATTCCACATAACGTATTAATATATATTTATCAAATAATATCCATAATTTAAATATACTTTTATTCATTTGCGGTAGTAAACTTCGTATTTAACATATCCTGCCCTGGAAACTGCATTTTAAAACTATTAAGCCAAAACTCGTCTAAGCAATGTCTAAAAATTCAGCCAGTGCCGCAGAGAAAACACATCTATTCACTATTACAAAGATCAGCTGGTTAAGTTCTTTAATTAAATAATTGCTTATTATTCTGAGGATCTACGAAACCATAAATCCACTCTGTCAAGTTCAAAGCTGCTGGATATTAGAGTACGTGGTATAAAGGTGTCCCAAAATGTACATACACAAGTTTGATTAAATATTATAATGTATGTAAATCTTTTTGGGACAACCTACATGCTTGAGAGGGTTAATGTATATAGAGAAAGTGCCAGGAGGGCAGAGTGGTCATCACTCAGCTGGGACAGACAGCCATAGAACTGACCTCTCGTTTTGACTCCTGAAGGTTCCTTTATAACGATGTCTGCATTATCCTCGCGTCGCCAAAGGACATGGGGCTCAGGGTAACCCCGTGCTCGACACGTCAGCTTCACAGTACCACCCTCAGGCACCATTACATCTCCAGATGTGTCCTCGTTTATGAAGTCAGGTGGTACGACCACATCCATGTACCCCAACTGGAAATTAAAAAAAATAACAAATGTTTACAACTAATTCAACTACAGTTAGTCTTATTTTTAAATATCTTTCTAGTATGATAGTTTCTTAGCGAGATTTCTTTGTTTTCCGTCATGTCCACATCGTCCCTACGACGAATCGACACCGTACCAATAGAAATCCAGTGACCAAGACAGGCACAAACGTCCCCAAATTACGTGGTTTAGAATGAGTGGAGATTTAATCCACTCACTAAACACGTCATCATGGTGCGATGCTTGGATAAATAAGACTTACCATTATCTTTCCACAGAAAATTTAAACATGGAGGGAATTACGAAATTGTGAGGTGATCATGGCAGAAATTCAACCGCCTGGACCAAAACCCAAACTGTATCGACTTGTATGATCGACCAATGGTTTTGTCAGCGTGAGAAAGACAACGGAAAAACAATTTGAAATTTATACTTCCGCCTAGAAAAAGCTGTCCCGCTATACGCCACGATTTACTTGTTGGGTTGGAGGGGGTTGTAGGGGGTTAACTGCTACTCGTTCTTGACCGCGGCACTAGACAGGGTGAGTGAATAGAGTTAAACCCCAACCCACGATACCCACTGGACAGGAGATTGGATGGGCCCCAGAGCTGATATGGACACACAGGCTAGAAGGAAATTCCTTTTTTCCCCTAATGGGGTTAGTAGTTGTTAATTTTGAGACCTTATCAAACTCACAGATTCCTAAATTAATTCTAAGCATAGACATACAACAAGATTTTGTATCGTGACTTCGTATGTTCAGTATTGTTAAAATCCATTTATTGCCGACATGTTTGTGAACACTGGCTCCATATGGCTGTCCATGTAACTTTGCGTCATTATTTTACACTCCAAAATGTGTATGTATATACATATTTTCCACTAACCAATGAAATTACATTTTTCACATATTTACTCATCTTGTTTTGCTGCTATTTGAATTTCGCGTGTAATGAAGTAACGATTCGATCTCATTTCCACTAGTCTATGGGCTCTAATTCCCTCTAATGACCTGCATTTTTTTATATGTGCATGTGTGTTTGCTCTCTGCGGTCATTCCTACACAGTGAATTTTCAAAGGACGATGGGGGGGAGGCGAGGGGTTGCTACAAATGTCACCGAAACCCCCTACATCATGTTACGGTAGGATGCAGTCGGGTTTAATGCCCGGACATGAATTAAGGGTGAAAGTATAGAATTATGCGATGACGCTAACAATACTGTCTGACTCATTTTCATTGTGAGTTGGAAAAAAAAATGGGGGTGGGATTTGAAAAGAATTTCGGTGGATAAAAATTGGCGTGGGTTGAAGTTCTGGGACCGACGCTGTGTTATATCTGCATAATGGACTGCATTTCTACCAAACATAATTTGCTGGTCTACATTGATCAGCTTTTTCTCGTCTTATTTCACAGCGATATTTTGACTTGGGAAGTTATAAAGCACCAATGATATAGGACAATGAAGATACGGTGAATACGTATACATTTAAAAGGAGAGATAATTATTTATTTGAAGGTACTTTTATAGCAATTTCGAGGCATAGCATAAAAACGATAACCACCAGTCGAGTTAGATGTTCGCAGGTAAAAGATTCGAACCAGCTACCTCCCAAAATAAAATCAACATACTCTGTTTTACAGTAAATTAAAAAGCTTATTTACGGTTTATTTAATTAAGCTACGGCAATTTTAAAGTATAATTAGGGTAAGAGACATAAACGAAATGTAAAAAAATGTTATGTGATTTTATGAAACCATTGGGAAATTATTTACTTTGACTAACAACTAGAAAATGTTATGTGCTTTTATGAAACCATTTGGAAATTATTTACTTTGACTAACAACTAGCATAAAATATATTATATGTTAAGAAACTTTAAAGACACCTAACGAAGAAGTTGTAGGTACTTTAACTGATGAATTATCCTTACGGGGATAAGGAAATCATTATAGAAACAAACTTATTCGAGGAGTTTGCTATTCTTACTAAGAATTTCGTTGTTTTATTCAGTCACTTCAGAAAAAAGTTATAGTTGTACGCTATAATAATCAAGCCCAGCTCCTTTCATATTCTTTCGAATTAAACATTTAGAATCATTCTCCCATTCAATTTAAATAATCCATGAAATTGAGAAAGTGTCGTATAAATGGACCACGAAAAACAAAGATTCTATTTTAGTTACGTCCGTCGGAACCATTCTGTGCTGGATTCTAATTAGAAACCAAATGCCTTTATGTACTTAAATATTTCATCCCTAATTTAGTCTACGATTGCTGTAGATAAAACACAAAAGATTTTAAAAAAAGAAGCAGTATTAAAACGAGAAATGTCCGTCGTTTCTGAGCGAAATATCTTGTTTGTAACACGGACATAATAATGCGTAAATTCAAGTTAAATGTGTGCTGCTTAAACTGGTGATTTTAAACAGACCGTATATTAAGATCTATAATAAATAAATCGAATTATTATTTCTTTCTTTCTTTCTTTCTCTCATCCTCTTTCACCCGTTGATGTCGAGATTTTTATTTATTCGATTGATCTATTTGGACAATGGTAGGACTCCTTGGATGAGTGATCAGCCCGACGCAAGGCCTCTACCTATACAAACACAGAAAGACGCGGACAAACATCCATGCCTTGAGTGGGACTCGAACCCATGGTCCCAGCGACCAGGCGGCACCAGGCCCACGCCTTAGACCGCGTGACCACTGCGGCCGGCAAATCGAATTATGAATGTCCAAAATTCGAAGCAGAAACGCTAACCAATTCAACATGTTTTTCGGACTATTTTTCAAGCCACTGACTACTAACACGTGTCAGGTGTGTGTCGTCATTTCACGTTCCCGCTATTTGAATAAATATTACTGAAGACTGGACGAACCAGATGATCCGCAGACGAATCTGTGG